TCTTAAATTTACTGAGACTTGTTTTGTGGCCTAACATGTGATCTATCTTGGAAAATGTTCCATGTGCAGTTAAGAATGTATATTCTATAGCTTTGGGGTGAAATGCTCTGAAAATATCAGTTAAATCCAGCTTGTCTAATGTGTCATTTAAGGTCACTGTTTCCACATTGGTTTTCTGTCTGGAGGATCTGTCCATTGGTGACAATGGGGTGTTGAAGTCCCCTACTATGATAGTGTTACTATTGATCTCAGTCTTTATGCCTGTCAATATCTGTTTTATATATTTAGGAGCACCTATGTTAGGTGCATAAATGTTTACTAGGGTTATGTTCTCTTGTTGGCTCGATCCCTTTATTATTATGAAGTGTCCTTCTTTGTCCTTTATTATATTCTTCCATTTAAAGTCTTTTTTATCTGATATAAGTATCGCTGCTCTAGCTTTTTTCTCAGTTCCATTTGCATGAAATATTTTACTCCATCCCTTTACTTTCAGCCTGTATGTGTCTTTTGATCTGAAGTGAGTCTCTTGTATACAGCATATGCAAGGGTCTTGCTTTCTTATCTATTCAGCCACCCTATGTAGTTGGAGCATTTAATCCATTTACATTTAATGTGATTATTGATAGGTGCATAGTTATTGCCGTTTTGTTATTTGTGTTCCTGGTCTTTGTTAGTTAGGTTGTTTTTCTCTTTTTTTCTGCTTAAAGAAGCTCTTTTAACATTTCCTGCAATGCTGACTGGGTGGTAATGAATTCCTTTAGTTTACTCTTTTCTGGGAAGCTCTTTATCTCTCCTTCAATTTTAAATGATAACCTTGCTGGATAAAGCATTCTAGGTTGTAGGCCTCTGTTTTTCATCACTTTGAAAACCTCCTGCCACTTCCTTCTGGCCTGCAAAGTTTCTGTAGAAAAGTCGGTTGATATTCTTATAGGGGTGCTCTTGTAAGTAACTTTCTGCCTGTCCCTTGCTGCTTTTAGGATTCTGTCTTTCTCTTTAACACTTGCCATTTTCACTATAATGTGTTTTGGTGTGGGCCTGTTTGGGATCATCTTGGTTGGAACTCTCTGCACTTCCTGGGCTTATATGTCAGTTTCCTTTGCCAGATTAGGGAAGTTTTCAGACATTATTACTTCAAATATTTTCTCGATCCCTTGTTCCCTCTCTTCTCCTTCTGGTATTCTTATGATGCACATGTTGTTGCCCTTAATGTTGTCGCTCAGCTCTCTTAAACTATTTTCAATATTTTTTATTCTTTTTTCTTTTTGTTGTTCTGCTTGGATGATCTCTGCTATCTTGTCTTCTAAGTCACTAATTCGATCCTCTGCTTCATCCAATCTGCTAGTAATTCCACCGAGTTTGTTATTTAATTCAGTAATTGTATTCTTTAGTTCTAGCTGGTTGTTTTTCATGATTTCTCTATCCT